TTTTATTTATCTTGTTCTTGAAGTTTGCTCTGCTCACATGCAACAGGCAGGAGCTGCTGGGGCATTAACATCCCCAAGAGCAGCCCTCAACAATGATCAACAGGAGTAGTTGTATAAATACTCCAGCTCCCTTGCCTCTCAGATGGGGTTAATCTGAGTTATGTTTTCTCCAGTTTTCCCTAGAGTTCCCCAGGAGGATTAAGAATGACAAAACCTGATATTTCAGCAAGTTGAAACAACCACCCCCAGGAATTTGATTCATTGTTATGACACCCCAAGCAACATGGAAGATTTGGATTGATAGTGGCCCCCAGATGTTAATGGTTTTCAACTCAGACTGAAGAATAGCTATAAGGTGGGACACTGAGAATTGAAACCATCTACATCCATACAGATTACAGTCAACATTAACATAATTTTATTATGTCATTGTCATCATTAACATTACTATTCTAGGAACATTTTGACCAGGCAGAGAAAAACTACAAGTAGCTTTATTGTTCTTTTCAGGAATGTCTCAAAATCTCATTTAAATGAACATCGAACTGCTCAGTTTTTCAATAGATGACTTTTAATGACTGCATATGCCATGTATCAGGCAGAATAACGCCCCTCCCCACAAAGATCTCCGTGTACTAATCCCTGGAATCTTTGAATATGTTGTTACATGGCACAGGGGAATTAAGGTGGGAGATAGACTTCAGGTTGTTAATTTATTTGACCCTAAAGTAGGGGTATTATCTTGTGTTATCTAAATGGAAACACAGTAATCACAAGGGTCCTCAAAATTAGAAGAAGGAGGTAGAATAGAAAGTCAGAGTGGTGTAATTTTAGAAGGACTCAACCAGCCATTGTGACTTTGAAGGTGGAGGTAGAGGGCACACCCAAGTAATGTGGGAGCCTCTAGAAGCTGGAAAAGGCAAGGAAAGGGATTCTTTCTGAGAGCCTCCAAGAAGGGGTAGCCTTGCCAACACCACCATCTTTACCTAGGGAGACCTGGTCAGACTTCTGACTTATAGAATTGTAAACTGACATATTTGTGTTATTTTAAGCCTCTAAATTATGATAATTTGTTAAAACAGCAATAGAAAGCTAATGTACTCTCTAAGACTCTTCAAAACCCTTACCTTGGTGTGTCCTCTAATCCTAACCTATTATATTATGATTGTTACCCAATCTAATCAAGTCTCCAGAATTGAAAAGCGCTCTTAAACCAGGTCCCCAAACCTTTTAAATACCCCAACTTCCCCCTTGGAAATGCTAATGAGATTGTCAGTCAAGGTACTGGTCTCTCTTATCAGTAATTAATAGACTCAGTTTTGCCCTATCAACACATCGTTCTGGTGTTATTTTTGTGGAGACAGTATTTGACGATTGTTTTATCCATGTGCTAAGACAGTATCTGCCATATAGTAGGTGTTTAATATTTGATACATAATGAATAAATTGAATTTCTAAAAAATATGGAATATTTATGTAGATGTAATTGTGACTCGATATTTCCTATTTCTAGATGTAAATTTCAGAAAAAATCATTTTAAAGCCTGAGTGAAACTTTGCACATGGATATTTAAATCCAGAACTGTAAGAATTGCTACTGTAACAATATACATTGAATACTTGTTAAAAGCTTGCAAATTAATAAATCATATTTTTCTTTGAAATTTCTTTTATAGTTGTGTGGTTGGTATTTTTTTTGCTATTCTCAACTCTGTGCATTTGTTTTACATTGTTCTGGAACATAAAGTTAAAGACAAAATTCTTTTTGTTAATATGGATGTATCTGATAAGTGAGAGAGTATTAAAATGTTACAAATTGAGAAATAATTTTAGGAATTTTTTCTCTCATTCCTGAAAGGGAAGGAAATTCTTCTTTGTAGAATAATGCCAAAGAAAAGACTACATTCCCCACTCCCCAACCATTTTGGTTTTTAAGTAAGGTCTCATTTTATATTGAAAAATTATCATGATCCTTTATGGAACAAAAAGTATATTATCATTTGGTTAGCCAAATAACATCTATTCCAAAATAAGTAGAGGAACTTTCTTGGAAAGCTTATTAAATATCTTCAATTTGCATTTTATTACTTATTATTTAAAATGATAAATAATCTTTCTTGTTGCCACTCTCCATCCTTACTCCCACCCAATACTGCCTTATAAATCTTTTTAGGCAGAATTTGAGAGGAAGCAAAGGAAATTGGTACAACTTCTATAAAAGATAACTTGGCAATAACCACCAAAATTAAAAATAGCTTTTACTCTAAAGATTCCAGTCTAAGCATTTATTGGTATAGTTACCCATTTGTATGGAGTTATTAGTTGCAGCTTAGTTTGCAATAATAATGACTTGGTAACAACCTAAATGTCCACCCATAGGTACTGATTAAATAAATTATGATATCTGCATGCAATGCAATATTATACTGTCCTTCGGAAGAAAGTCGTAGTTCTCTATGTGGTGAGGTGGAAGGATATCCAGCATATTTTAAGTGAGAAAAGGAAGGAAACTAACAGTGTATACAGTACATTATCTTTTGTGTAAAAAGTATAACTGTATTTTACTGTATCTTTATAACACATCTCAGGAAATGATTGCCTCTGGGACTGAAGTAGTTGAAGCGTGAGGATGGGAGCAGCAATTATTTTTCACTCTATTTTGTCATAGTTAATTTTGAGTTTGCATTAACACGTTTTGTTAAATACAGATATATAGATAAAATCAATGTAGATGTAGATAAAAAGAGTGAAGCTTCAAATTATAGATGGTCAGTTAAGAATTTTAAAAGGGAGGATGTGAGCTGGGTCCCTGGCAGCCATCACGCTTTGAAGTTGTCTCAGAGGGTGTAGGGCCGACACTAAGTAAGGAATCACATTCTCTCCAATCATAGACCCTATAAAATTTGGATGTGACCTTCACATTTGACTGGATTTACAGTGGTTTCAGCAATGTGCTACAGTTTTTAGGGTCCTATAAAAAAAAACTGGTAAATTGGTATTTCTTGGCTTGGATAATACAGGGAAAAGAATATTGCTACACATGCTAAAAGATGACAGAGTTGGACAACATGTTCCAACATTACATCTCACTTCAAAACTAACCATTGCTAGGATGAACTTTACAACTTTTGATCTGGATGGACATGTTTGAGCTTGAGGAGTGTGGAAAAACTACCGTCCTGCTATCAATGGAATTGTGTTTCTGGTGGATTGTGCAGACCATGAAAGGCTGTTAGAATCAAAAGAACCTGATACACTAATGACAGATGAAACCATTGCTAACATGCCTGTACTGATTGTCGGGAATAGGATCAACAGATCTGAAGCCATAAGAGAGGTTAGGAGAGGTGTTTGGTTTAAGTGGTCAGACAATGGGAAAGGGCAGTATATCTGAAAGAACTGAGTGCCCAGCCCTTAGAAGTTTTCATGTGCAGCGTGCTCAAAAGGCAAGGTTATGGAGAACGCTTTTGCTGGATGGCACAGTACATAGATTAACACCAACCTGCATCGGGTCCTGTCTCGCCATTCAGGCCTATTCAGGCCTATTCAGAGATTTGATTGCTGAACATACATAACTTGAATTAAAAAGCCTTTTGTTGGTTAGAAAACAGATTTTTTTAGATTATTAATATTGTATCAGCTTAAGCTGAATGAGAATTGAAAACTGATTCAAGTAAGTTTAACTATCACAACATTAGCTAATTCCATGAAGATTAGTTTTTACAGTTTATCATCTGACATTATCCCCCAGTGCCAATTATAAAGAGCAACTTTCTAGCAGTACATCTGAAGCACTTTTTAACAACATGAAACTACAAATATAAACTATAATTGAAAGCCCATCATGTTAAATTTTTATGTACTCTTTTGGAACTAGTTTTTAAATTTTAGATATGTTAAGTGTACAGTTAATAATTAACTTATTGATGATTACATGTCTTAAAGTTTTCAATAATATATTTTTTAGGCAAACATCATGCAATGAAACAAACTCATGTTTGGGAAGAATTTTTTTTAAAGAAAAAATATGTACTTCTATTAATGCTGGTACTAGCTTTTAGGGTTGATAATTTTCATATGCACATTTCTTATAATAGTTTATTATAAAGTTCCTCAAAACCCTGGAATTTTATTAAAAGCAATCTTTAAAATGTTTGCTTCATAATTAGTAGAAAGTAAAAACACAACTTCAAGAAGTTCCTTCATAGAAAAAGAAAGTAAGAGGCAGAAGATTATAAAGTGTTTTTCAAATGATGAGCCAGAGGTAGTATCTCTGGACAATTACTGTACTGGGTTCTATGAGACCCTCTGAAAATCTCGTCTGGTCTGTCACTATTATTTTACTCTCAATTGAATTATAGCTTGCCCTTACTAGCAGGATTTGAGGAGGTGAAGGGAACTGTTCAAAATGATATTCTGAAGAACAGAATTAGTGGCAGAAAATGATTAGATGACGAAGGAAAAAAAGGGCTGGCTTGGCTTCCTGGGAGAAGCTTGAGCGAAGTTCTGAGCAGCCTCCTGCAGAAAATCCTAGCAGACTGCCTTCCCGGCTTGACCCAGCTGGTGGGTCTAGGGACTCGGGGCTTCAGCATCAGTCGGGGAAGCAGACCTCGGGGGCTTCGGAGGCACGGGCGGCCTGAGGAGCCCTTCGCCTGAGCCCCGGAACAAGTAGATCCAGTTGGGCCCGGCGCCGCCCTCCTGAACCTCGCTAGCGGCTACGCGCAGGAGGGTGCGCGCCGCGGTGTGCAAGCCTCGTCCTGCCCGACCCGCCCCGTCGACGCGGCCACGGGGCGCGGGGGCCAGGGGCCCGAGGACTCAGGCCTAGGCCTCGCCTGCCGCCGCCCGGCCCACCCGGGGGTCGTCCGCCCGACAGCTGCGCTCGTCAACACCCCCAGCGTCGCGCACCGGCACTACAGTCCCCGCAGCCCCCGCTTTTCTGGCGGGGAGGGGCGCGGCGTCATCACGTGACGCCTCGCCCCCGCCCGGCCTTGGTCACATGGGTGGCGCGGCCGCTGCGTCAGTCACAGTCCTGGCTGCGGGAGTCTAGCCGCCGTCGCCGCCAGCGGACCGGGCGGAGATCCGGGTGCCAGGTCCTCGTCAGTCCGCCCCCGTCGCCTCAGTCGGCCGTCCCGGGCCGAACCCGCCCGTCATGGAGCGGGGCGAGACGTATGCCTGTTCCGTCTGAGGTGCGCCGCCGTCTGCGCTTTTCGAGAGCTCTGGATCCCTTACAGCCGCTCGGAGTCCCTCGTCCTTGGCAGCCTGTCGCCGCTCCCACCGGGCGGGCTCGAATGCGCGTCCCGTGAAGGTACAGGCCCGGCGCCGCCGCTGCCGCAGCTGGGAAATGGTTCGGGCCTAGCGGAGCCAGGACTGGAGGTGAGAAGGCCGACGGGCTGACAGAGGGCCGGGCCGGGCCGCGGCGGTGGGGGCAGAGGGCGGGGGAGGGGCCCGCGTGCGAGTTGGTGGAGACCCTCCCGGCCGGGGCTGCGCAGTCCGCCTTCGCCCCTCATATTCGCGTACCATCCCCCACCCGCCCCAATAAATAAATAAATAAGCTAAGCTCATCCTAACAAAAATACCCAGAAACCCATTTTTTCACCGTTTTTCCTTCCTCCTTTCGTCTCTTAATCTGTTCCTTCTCTCAGAAATTCCGTCGACTGTCTTGCTACTTTTTAATATCCAGTTTCAAGTTATTTCTAGTTAAAGAGAAAATAGGCCTAGATTCTGGCCATCATTACCCAACTAGTTCTCGCTTTCCTTCTCGCGATCCTGCGCACGGTCACCCCTCCCTTGCAAAAAAAAAAAAAAAGAAAGAAAAAAAAAATTCCGCCTTCAGCCAGTGAAGGTGGTTAACTAAAAATGGGAATGTGGGGGCGTAATACTTGCATCCCCCCTGTAACTTCTAAGTCGGCCGTTTCTCTGATTACCTCGGTAGCTGGTTATTTGGATATTGATGTTTAGGCCTTTCCTCAGCTGCCTGAGCCCAGGGTTAATCTCGTAATTGACGTCAGTGCTTTGTTCCTTCCACTTTGCTGTTCCTTCCACTCTTTGAGGATGGATCATGGGGTATAGGAGTTTGAAGACTGTCCTTGCCGTTTCCTACACGAACGACGACATTTATAGCAAATTGAAAGGACAAATCTGAAATGCTTGTGTATGCAATTCATACTAAGACGCAGAGTTCGTTTTAGGCTTCTCGTAGTCAGTTGCAGTTCAGAACTGTGCGATTTCTTTCCTTCTGGCCATATGATTTTAAACTCAGGCCAGTCCGTTTTCCAGTAATCGGCATTTTTCTCCACGGAATCTAAGCCGTAGATGCCTGTGTGAATGGGATGTTTATAAATGTGATGTTTAAAATGTGTGTTGTTTTTTAAGATTCAGAAGCTCAAAGCTTTGTTTCCATATTGGTCTTGCAAAGCTTTGTAAAGTGTTTCTTTTATATAAGTGTCCTTTAATTTAGCAAGTTGAAATATTTATGAGAACTTTCTTAATTTGGCATTTGATAAAGAGCCCTTGTGGCCTGTGAATCTGCCTGGAATCATCTTTGGTCAAATGTACATAAGGAAATGTTGGCAAGTGGCCACTTGGTTTTTAACAAAGCTGGCTTTAAATTTCTCAGGTTTATTTTTCTTATTCATCACTGCTTTTTTCAGTTCCCAAACATTAAAAAAATTTTCTCAAGAATTTATCTTTTAGAGTTAACTTACCTGGAAGCAATCAAATTTATTTTTATTTTTATTTAATACCAGCAGTTTCATTCAGTTTGTAGTGACTTGCAGGACGATAACTGGTTTTTGTGTGTTCTACAGGAGCAGTACGCAAATTGTACTTTAAAATTTTGCATCAAGTGGGGACAAGATAGGATGTCTGTGAATGACCCAACCTTTACTGTTTGATTAAAAAAAAAACTACTTAGTTGTGTTAATTGGAAAATGGTTTACAATTTGGGGGTGTAAAAATGATTATAGTGCTTTGGTGAAGGTGTGTGATTCAGAATTCTTAGAGATAAAAATATTTTCATTCAGATTTATTTTATACATGTCAAATGACATACATCCTCTTTCACTATGCTCTTGAGTTGTTGTACCCCATTTGTAACAGTTGATACTTATTCTTTATATTGTAATTTTCTTGTAGGTCTCTTGTAGTGTCTTTAGAGCAAGAACTGTATTCATACCTCTCTGTGTCCTCTTCAGTATTTTATACAATTATTAGATTGAATTTGAGTGTGATAGCCAACCTTTCACAAAAGGGTAATCTAAAGAAGGCTGTATGAGCAAATGTTAAAAGAGGAAAAAGTGACTGTCAGCTATAGAAGATGACAGAAGGTGAAGCTTTCTAAAAGATATGTCTTGCCTTTTTTGAAGAGTTAAGGTAAATGTCGTGGTTTTATGAGGAACAAAGAAAACAGGTATTTCTTCTTTTGTGGCCATCTACTGGTTTAGAATGGAGTCCAAAATATGAGGTTTTCTTTTTGTAGTATTTTTTATAAAATCAAAGAGGCACTTTTAAGTATTGAATGCACACCTGGACAATGACCCAGAAGTGCAGTGTGTATTATAAAAATTGATGACTTAGATTGTAGTTTTTAATTTTAGCTCTATTCTGCAGATACCTTACTGTGTAAAATTTCTTATGTAATGTAAAGGTTTCCCAGCTTTTGAACCCCCAGTCCTCATTATGTTTCACCCATTTCCTTTTTCATTTCTTCTGATAAGTTGGATTATATTTAATTTCTGAGCGGGTGTATGCCAGTCTCAGATATTGTGAAATAAGGTATAGTCAGAGACTAAAGACTGCTTAAAGCTAAACTGACCTCTTATCTTGCTATTTTTTCCTTTGGTTTAAGAACTTGTAGTAACTGACTACACTCACTCTTCTTGGTTATTGAAGTGATACTCTAGTACTTGGAAGAGGCCAGTAATAAACATTCCAGTTACTGAGTTTTGGCTGATCATCTGCATTCCTATTTGTCTCGATGTTCATTTTCACTGGCATCATATCCTGAGAATTTTAATGATACTGGCACATAGAAAATGTTAGAACCACTGAATTCATTTCTAAAATATTTTGAAAACTTTTTAATATTGGGACTACTAATTCTATTTTTGAAGGAAAAAATCTTTTTAAAAATCTACCTGCTTTATCAGCTATACTTAATTAAAAACCTGTAACCTGAAGAAAGGCAATTTCATGTAACTTTATCTCTCTTGGAGTGCCCAATTGAACCACTGTGGTTGGTGGCTTTTAGGCAGGTAGGCAAAGCTTACTAGTGGGTACTGTTTTAAACTAATTATTTTGATCACCATTTTCTAGAATAGGTAAAAGAACTTCACACATTCTTTTCCCAAAGTGTGTGGTTTAAAAAAAAAAAAAAATCAGTAATCAACATGAATAGATTGCCTTGGAAAGCTAGCTAACATGGTTGGGCTACTCATATATTGTCATGATCTGTCTTGGGACTGGGCTCCCTGGGGCTGCTTGGGGCCTGAATATGTCTCCCATGATTTGTCAATTTGGAACTGCCTAGTGGGTTATGACTTTTCACTTCAGTTTTCCTTTTCTTGTCCTCATTAGGGTAGGGACAGTTTTATGGAGAGGTGAGTACAGGCTAGTACTCACTCCACTTAGGTTTTCTCACCCCTTTTCAGTTGCTTTCTTTTTTTCCATCACGAATATCACTTTTCTTCTTTTTTTCCCTACTTTGTAAAATTCCACCATCTTTTAAGACCCAGTGCAAGTACCATTGCCTTCCTAAAGTTTTGCTTGATTCCTCACCCTCCTCCAGTTGTGACCTACCTCCTTTGAATCCCTTTATCACTTTGTATCTCTCTTAATTATTTGTTAGGCAGCAGATAACTCTGGGGCTGTAGCTACTGGGTAACCCGGGAACTCAGTGTATCAGAGAAGATAAACTAGTAAAAAAAGAATGTGTTACACTGTTTCATTATGTAACTCTAAGAAATACGAATTAAAACAATAGTCCAACCCGAAATTTCACTAAAAAATGGTAATACTAATTCCTTAATATCATTACATAGCCAGAGTTTACATTTCCTTGATCATAAGTTTTGCTTTGTTTTAACAGTTTGTTTGAATTAGAATCCAAATAATGTCGATATATTACATTGAATGTGTGTCTCCACCCTCTTTTTTTCCCTTTCTCTATAGATTGCTGTCTATTCTTATTCCCATACAATTGGTTTGTTAAAGAAACCAGGTCTTTGCCCTATGAGAGTTCTCACAGTTTGGGTTGTGCTGATTGCATCCAGTAGTTTCATGTAAATTGTTCCTCTGTCCTGTTTTTCTTGTAAATTAGTAGCGATATCTAGAAGCTTGATCCGGTTAGGGCTTGAAATTTTTTTAATGGCAAGAATACTTCATAGGTAGTGTTGTGCATCTCCTGTGCCTCTTAAACCTTCAGCGTGACTTCTCCTCCTACCATGCCAGTGAAATTGCTCTTACCAAGGCCACCTGTGATTTCTGTATTGCCAAATTGTATGGTCATTGCTTACTTTTACCTCTTTCTGTGCTTGATATTGTTAACCATTTTCTCCTTGATATCGTTCTCTTTCTTGACTTTGATGACTCTGTCCCTTTCTTGCCTTTCTTCCTGCTTGATGCTGCTTTTGCAGACTCTTAATTTGTACTAATCCCTTGATATTAATAGCTCTGGATTTTACCCTTGGCCTTCTCTTATGTTGATCTTGTCCATTTGTATTGCTTTAGCTACCATCTCTAAAGCATTTTGTGGGCACCAGAACTCTCTCATCCAACTAAATACCCCACTTTAGATTGTCCAGTAGGCATTGTGTTTTCATTAGGAGAGTGATACATACCTAACTTAAGCAAAAAAAGGAATTTATTAGGAACATACTGGGTACCACATGAATTCTAAGAAAGGCAATCAAACTAGGATGTCAGAACTTAGGAACAGCTGGATCCAGGGGCTCTAAATGTCAGGAGTATCTATTTATCTCTCATGAGGTGCTCTCTGTGTATTTAGATCTCTTGCTGCAGATCAACTTTAATACTTACTGATACCTTCTGAGTTTGAAATCTTACATCTTCTGACATTAGAGAGAAACTGACCTGAATCTCAATCCCAAATCCCAGGAAAGAGACTCATTAGGTATGTGTCCACCTCTACACCATGACTTTGGCTAGGGGGCTACATATAATAAACATGCTCTATTTGCAACATTCCCCAGAGAAGTGGAGTAAAGGGCACTCTAAAACATAATTGGTCTACTTCATTCATCCCATGGCTATTTAGTACATACAGTTCTACTTTCCTCCAAAAATATATAAAATATTGTTTTTAAACATACCAAAAAAAATAAATAAATAAAACATACCAGCAAGCACTCTCATCT